GTGGAAATACTGCACCTGCTCCCTTCTAATTCCATGAGGCTGGAAACTGTGCCAAAATCAAATGGAACAGGATAGTGACAGTGAATTTTTGTCACTTCCGGAAGATGAACTGAAGATTTTACTGTGCTCACGGCCACGTCTGGAGTGCAAAGAAGGCTGCCAGTCAGCCTCCTGGGGCTGTCAGCACAAGAACCAACACTCGCTGGAGCTGATGGCAGAATTGAGACATCCCATATATAAAGAAAGAGTTAAAATCATAGCAGACAGCAGGTACAACAGATACCTGCACACTTATAATCAAGTGCAAAAAAAACCCCATGTCTATCACCTACTGCTTAACAGCCTTGGCATGGCAGGTACTTGGCTTTCAAGCATCAGCTGGCTGAGAATGTCAGAAAACACTGCCTGACAAGCCATTTCTCCTTATAAATCTGGTTTGTGGAGATCTCCTTATGATAGGGAATATGACAGCTCTCAGCAAACCTGGGTTTGGTTGGAACATGTGAACACTGACAGAGCCCATGCCCTTCTTTCCTGGGGGCACAGAAGGGCAGAGAACTGGCAAAAAAAGTGAGATAGTCTGGCCACTAAGTGCATGGGCTGGACTACATATTGGTGACCAGCATTACCATGCCATTGACTTGCATAGATACACAAAGCAGGACAAGGGCTTTGTTCGGAAGTATCATCACATTTCCTCAGAGACTCTCCTTTATGAAAGGTGCTGATACTGCACTGGAGAGATTAAATTTTTTTTTGGGGGGGAAAGAAAATTATGAAGTTTGGACAAACCCCAAGGATGCTTACTGCTTTCAGAATAACAAACATTTCCTTGAGGAGAAATTCCGCAATGACAAAGTTGAGCCAACCCTTTCTTTTATCACAACGGGAGCCAAAACTTGCTGGTTTTCCCCTGTACTACACAGCTGAAGTTGCTGCTTCAGAAAACTGCTGGTACCTGAGCTGGACTCTGCAATTGTTGAGAGGGAAGAGTATGTGCAATAGTGACAAGCTAGAACACCCAGCAAGAACAAAGCCAAGACATGAAGGAGGTTTTGTGTCAGACCAGTGCAAAAATTACTATTTACTGGCCACTAGCACAATATAACGATGGCCATAAGCTTTCTATTTCTTTAAAATCTTTAAATAGGTCCAACAAAGTGCCAGATATGCAAAGCCCTCCTCCCAAGCACAGTAAAAATTTTAAATCAATTAACATTTTAGTGATTAAAGTTCCAATCAAATTCTAAATAATAACAGCTGTGAGAAGTAATGATGTTAGTGCACATTCATCCTCATTTTAGCTCTCTTGACTCCTGTGATTAGTGAGGAAGAGGCATTTGCCTATTAAGACAAGCTAAATATATGTAAGGATGACTGTTTCATAACAATTTAAAACACAAAAAAGTCTGGTTTTCATCTGCAGATGGGGTATGCACTGATACACCACACAAGCTCTAATTATCCACTTATAAGTGTAATTACAGGGATTGTCTTAAGCTGCCAGTCACTTGCCTTCAACATTCTTAGTAGTGAACTATTTACATTTCCTGTATCCAACCTTAATATTTGATATGAGCTACACCTGCAAAGTTTTCATCATTAGCACCAGTCTGAAAACTGCACAGACAAACAACTTTATGGGCTCAAGTGGAAATCCTGAATTTGGACCAAGAGGCCTTCAATGAGGCCTATTAGGAACCCTCCATCTACTGCAGATTGGTAGATACCTTTAATAGCAGAACTGGCACCACTCCAGTACTTGGCCTTGGCTGCTGCAGCTATTTTGAAAATATATCAGCAATTTCAAGAGTTGAGGAGCTAGATGTTCTGTATGTGAACATTCCTGTAGATGCTATGCTCCACTGCTTGCAAACTGCAAGCAAGTATTCACTGCAAGCAAGTATTCACTGCAGTGGGTATCTCTCATTCTGCTATGCATATCATTAATCAGCTTCACTCAAGGTATGAAACCCAATCAAAAATAATAATGGGCAGTTACTGAATGTTTTTATTTACCACGGGGCAAGCTAAAATATGAAGGAGCATAGCCCAGCAATGGGGTAAGATACTAAGTGTCTATTCTGTGCTCATCTAAGTCAGTATAATCTTGCACTGATTGAAAGGAAGCCAGAATTTCTCTTGAGAATCAGCAATAAAACCAAGCAACATTTTTCTTGCCTTTCCCCTGCTTCTTTCTTCACAAATGTAAAGACTATTCAGTTGAAATTTCTCACCTAGGGTTCAAACAAACTCAGACCAAACCCTAGTGGTGATAATTAAAATGAAGAGAGGTCACTGATGCATGCTACTTGAATACTGAAAACAAAATTTACCTTGTTCAGAATGACAGCTCAAGGATGCAAATTAAAGACTGAGATTATTCTAGGTTTTGGGTTTGTCTGTCTACAGAAGAATCTAATTTACTTAAAATTAATATTTTACATTATTTGTGTGCTGCCAATATAAATAGCTCTTTAAATGAGATAAATCTCAGATTAAGCTCCTTTAACAGCAATATAAAGATCTGAGTGTTTTGTCTTAGCAAAATTCATGCTGATCCTCAAAATTTGTTCGAACACTAACCAGTCTTCATGGCATATTAAACACCAGTGATGTTTCTTTTTTTTTTTCAATAACTTAACCAAACACATTTTGATTTTCTTCTCTTGACACACCTATTAAAAATTCACACCCTTCTTTCAGGCATCTTAGGAATCATTCCCAGTTCTGCCACTGTGTAATCTTGTGCCAGTCACATAATTGTCTTAAGCTCTGTTTCTGTTCTGTCACCTGTAAGATAAATGTACGTAGGCTATAGATTTGGTGCTGTAAGATTCAGCAAACATTTATGAAACTCCGAGGCCTTGGAGCACAAAGGGCTATGGAAACGATGCTGTGATTGCCTTAAAAATCAGAGATCAAAACATAAAATCTCATTATACTGGGAATAGGAATTTAAAGACTTAACTCTCTTTCTCCCTGCATATGCCTTTTTTCCTATGCAGGGAATACAGTGCACTTACCCTACAGATAGCACATGACATCTGGTCCTTCATGTTAGTCTGGAATGCACTGGGGAGCTCACTGGTACAGCCAGAGGTTCAAAGTCTACCCTCTCTTTGCCACGTACATGACGGTGATACAGGGAACTCAGATTTGGATGCTCCCATTTTAAATACAGGCTTTTGTAATCTCTGTCTCTATATAATGTAACTATAGATACAAACTGCAGTCAAAGGGTCTGTAAATGCCAGTAAAAGTGTTTCATGAAGGGAGGCCTTCAGGATTACTCCTGCAAAATGTATTTTTTCAATGAGATTTTAGGGCCACTGTTTCTATAAAAATAGAACTTCTCATTGAATTTTACTGGAAGTTCCACTTAAAACCAACCATATGATATGGGTTGATGATGTGTATTTCAAGACATCTCTTGTTTGCTATTCCCTATTCTAATCCTAAAGGCAAAAAGGTTTTGGTTTTCTTGCTTCGTATTGGGAAATTAATGTGATAATAACTATTCCCTTACCCATCAGAGCTCTCAAAGCAGTGCCCAATTGCCACTAATATTTTCAGGATCTAAACATACCCTGTGTAGCGGAAAACTTTGATGAATCAGGCACTGAGTATTATACAGGTCCATATTATTTTCCTTGCTCTGAAAGAGACACCCTCTTTTGACACAAAACTCACCTTTCATTTTGAGGTAGGATACAGTTTCCTTCATTACTGGGGGGATTAGTTCACCTTTATTTTTGTCCTTGATACTGTTAGAGAAAATAAAAAAAAAAATTAAAAAATTAACAGCCTTTAAATGGCATTTATAGACAAAGAATCAAAATCAACATAGAACAGTCTCAGCAAAAACCTGAGACATAAATGCAAGCATACATCAAATTAACCAAATTTAGCAGCCTGCACCAAGTCAGGAGTCCTCCACAACTGCAACGGGCACTGAACAAGCTACTGAAATACATGACTTGAACTCCTATTCAAAGAGCCATTCCTGAACACTTTCTTCCTGCTAGAAAAGCTACATTACTGCAACAGTTCTGGCTAATGAATGAGTGCTATTTCCTGAACTGAAGGGGAGTCAAGGATAGAGCATCAGAATGTTGTTCCAGGCTCACTTTGCACTGACTCAAGATTATTTTTTTCCAGTTTTGTTCCCCTTGTTTGGTGTGCCCCAGAAGGGCTGCATTCAACCCTGACACAGTGATGGTGGTGGTGGTGGCAGCTTGGATTGGATTCGGCCAGATGCTGCTGGTGGAACAGGGTTTCAAGGCAGCAAAGTTGGAGTTTGCAGCAAATGCTTCAGAATAACTCTTGATCAAGGGATGTTGCAAGTTTAGGAGCCTTTTATCATGCAGATTTTCCTTTGTCATTTGTCTCTTTTTAAGCCACAGTGTATGTATAATTAAAAGGATATTGTACTACTTATTTTGAAGGCAAAGTGATGCAGCGAGATTGAGTTTATTAACGCTTTGAAAGATTCCCATGTAATGAGATTGGCTTCTCTTTCATGAGAGAACTGTTCAGGCAAAAAAAAAATCTAATATAGCATTTTCTTGATCTAGACTGTGTAGGAAATTCTGCAATTATCTCCCTGATTTAAAAAAAATATATATACTTTTGCAGTTTAAAAAGTGTAACAAAAAAGACAGTCAGTATCTACGGAGGATTCTACTACATTTTAATCATAATCAGCAAAACAAAAAGGACCAATCTCAAGTTTTGAAATACACTTACATATTTATGTGTGCAATTTCATGTTTGATATTCAAAAGGTGACCAGCTTTACTGGCAAACTCTGAAGCACCAGCACAAAACAACACAGCGATCTGTGGCTGTATAATGAGAGGCTACAAATACTGCAGCTCATCCACTGGAAATGTGAAATGTTCATGGAAAATGTAAATATGACCTTGAACTAGTGCTACTAGCTGAGGTTGCACCTGCAGAGGAGAATGATTCTTAGAGTCTTTTTCTTTCTCAAATATTGTGAATTCTTCTCTTTCTGTCTAGGCTTACTTACTTCTTTATTAATATAAAATATACCTGATAATAACTGGAGTGTATTTGATCTGTAATAATATTGCATGGAATGAACTATCCAGTATTATATTTTGTGTTTAAAATACACACACAAAACCAACTTTAATAATGTTACAGCAACATAAGTTGGCCTAGAGTGGCAGGGAAACTAACAAATCCTCCCTTCCTTATATTTTTTTGTCTGTGCCTATGAGGGACTCAGAAAAGCATATGTAGACTGGTTAATTTTGAACCTCCAACCTTAAGGATGTTGGTCACCCTTAGCTTCACATATGGGAGCAGTTCCTCCAACAGGATGACCCAGAGCAGGATCATGACTTATGAATCACTCTCTTGATAATGAACTGAGAGGGGAACACACTTCATGCTGTTTGGTTATTCAGCCATCAAACATTTTGATCCCACTCACCACTCCATGCACACAATGCTGAACCACCAGTGCCATTTCTTCCACTTAAAGTTTTGTTGCTCACTGAGTCCTACTAATTTTCCCTCTTTCCCATTTTAAGTGTCACTTCTCCTAGTGCTATATAAAACAATACAACTTGTTACTTGATGGCAACTTTTTAATCCAGTTTCTGGAGCTCCCTCTACTATTCCCAATACCTAGGCTACCCTGTTTTTTGAAAGGAAATTAATTGCTCCATCATGACTAATCACCATCTCAACACTAACTGGTGCACCAGCAGACCAAACACAACAGAAAACTCAACTCCTGCTACAGTTTCTCTCTTCCCAGGCAAAGATTTTTAAAAGCTTGGAGTACTTGTGAGAGCTCCACTCCTTTGTCAAATTTGCTTCGCTTAAGCCTATGGCTCTTCTGTGAACCTCACCAAAAATCAAACAAATGAACACATTTTTAATGCTCTTTTCCAACAAAGTATCCATATCAGAATCTAAAGTTTATAAAATTCAATACTGCTGTGTCTGTGGGTTAATGCCACTTTGTAGACACCACTGTACCCATATCTAACTGGAACTGTTTAGGAAAGGGGAGTTTTCCTTGATTTAAACATAGACGTAGGAATTTTGATTAAAAATATAGCCAAGTTTCATAAAACCATGATCATAACCTGATAATTTTAGACATTTGACCAGTTCTACAATGGATGCAATGCACTTGCAAGAAGAAAAAGACTAACAGCAAGGAACAATTTAATTCAGAAAATCCCTAAGTATGAGCTTTTATATGTTCGTAATTCCCAGCACTTGCTGCTGCTTGCAAGTATGATCTTTAGATGAAATGATACAACTTCTTGTCCTTACATGCTGGCAAGGCACAACTCATTTCAATACAAAACAGTAAGGGACTTGCTGGAATAATCATCCTCTGCACTATTGTAACAATGGGATAATGGCCAGAAGAAATATTTATGGCCTGATTTCTAAGTCCAACCTCAATCTTCCCTACTGTCACAGACATAAGGGCTAAACCAGGGGCCATAAGGACTTCAGGAAAACCACCTGCTAAGTAGAAAAGGCCAAGGCTTGAAACGCTACCCAGGACCAAGTTTATGACCTAGCCCTCAGAGCAGTATCCTCTTCTTACCCACAGTGACAATCAGACAGCTCTGTAAAATACCTCTCCTAGCAGAAAAATCCTCTCAGCTCCTTTCAGGAAATGTATCCCATCACTCCTAGTCTCTCCTGCTCCTTCCAGCTTCAACAGTCTTACAGCAGTTTCAGGCATGCTGGTGACACTGTAGAGCTGAAGAGTTGTGCAATGCTCTCAGGCCAGCTCCAAGACTCAGGTTGCTCTCCCCTTCCCCCAGTCTTCCACCTGGACTCAGGAGAGGAGAAATTATTGAGTAACCTTGCTTCAGTACCATGAGATCTCACACCAGCCCTTGAAAAAGTTTGGCCACAGCAAAGGGAAAAGAACCATGGAAACAGAACATGTGGGCCCCCTACCCTGCTCTGAATGGCAGCTGCTGTATATGAACTGTTTTCTCTCACAGCAGATCAGTGTTGTATAACAACTCTGCTGCAACAACATAGAACAGAACAGCAGCCCCATTAATAAATTAGCCTTGCTAATAAACCACAAGAAGAAGGGAGTTCTAGGGGTTCTTTGCACAGCATGCAAAGTTGAAATCCCCAGTGAAATAATATTCCCCGGTAAGAGACTAAACAAGAAAAGAGGCTGGGAGATGAGGTCAGTACCAAGGTCAATGTTCAGGATACCAGTGAGGAAAAGTCTGCAGTAAATCGAGGTAAGGGGAAAAAACCCCACATTCGTTTTAGTTTTCTAATAGGGGAGTTAAAACACACTCTGTGTGTGTAAGATAATTTTGTTTTGTGTATTCAGATCAGTACCCTAAACATTTAGGGCAACTTTTATTAAAATTAGTCGAAAGCCTGATTCACTTAAATGGGAACATCATCAAGGCTTTAATTTGCTTGGAAGCTGTTACATCTTTATTATTGACAATTTAAGCTCATGGAACCCATTCTCAGTCTCTCTGAAGTTGCACTGATTGTTTTTGCTTTCTTACAGCTGCTCACTCCAGAGGCACCAAATAGCAATCCAGCAGCTTTTATAAATGCTTTCTAATTATTATTGTTACCCATAAATGTGTTTCCCATTTCAGTGTATAAATAGCAAACTGATTATTTACAGCACTTGCTCCTGCTGAGCACTTGCTTCTCTGTCAGAGAGGTGAGACAAATAACTGGGCTGTAATTTGTAATAATAAAACCCACACATCATTTTTCTTTTTCTAAGAAAAAAAGATAGTTTCTGCACTTCTACCATTTTCTACAGGATTTCTGCTTCCTTTGAAGGAAAGGTTCCATTCGAGTACAATGAAATAGGTGCTCAAGATAAACAGTATTTTAGAAGAGAGTAGGATATTCACCAAAAGTCACATGGGAAGGATTGTTCAGTTTTTGCAACACTGTGGAAGGCAGGGATGCATATTTTCATTCCATTTCACAATGTGGAACTTTGTGTTCAGTTTACTGGACCGAAGGTGACAGAAAATAATAGGGACATTACTTCAGCTAATGTAAATCAGACCAGCTCAGAGGTCAATCAAATTACACCTCTATCCTCTTTTGTGGATCCTGTCAAGTAATCTGCATTTTTCTTGCCTTGTTCAGGATGTTGTGATGAGCAGCTGTGCTTTATGATGGACAATGCAAACTGACATTGGTGATCAGGCAGTACTACAGGCAATTTGAAATGCAAGGTCTCTTACTCTTTCTGCTTAAGAGACAAATGTAACAGAGCATTTCAGTGCACAGTCTAGTTTTCTGTAACTGATTCACACATCTGAATCATATTGCAGCAACATGTCAGATTCAAGAGGGATCTAATTCTAGTAAACACAGTAGCCAGGAAGAATGAGTACTCCTCACTACAGGATATATGATTAGTTACTGCAACATGTTATATACCCAATAACTCATTTTTAGACAGTGGACAGTTATCACAAAAGGCTTTTACACATTGTTCTGAAGAGTCATTAAGTATTCTTGGCTGATAATCTTTCTCTCTCTCTGCTTTTCCTCTCCTCCTCATTTTTTCCCTGCTGAGACATGCTGAGATTTGGTTTAGAATGCATTCTTCCTCCCTGGTCACGCATGCACAGCATGCACAAGAGGAAAGATTATGACCAAAAGGAAAGCACCCTGAAATGTTTATGACAACAATTCAACAAGCAAAAGCTGTACAGTTGTGGAAATTTTGTGCATTTTCTCTGCCCCCTCT